TTTTTTTTTTATTTGCCCTCGCCAATTTTTAAAATGTTTCCTCGAAATTACTCTTAAATACTTTAAATACGTCTAACAGTTGATAAATATTTTTAAATCTATGGAATAATTTTAAAACCTATCAAACCCCCGTAAAATAATTATTTAAGTTTAAAATCTAAAACTAAGAGAAAGTATTTTTGTTCAAAAATCGACAACGTTGCTATTGCTGAATAATTTTATTAAAATGTTAGCTTAAAAGATTTTTTTTTAATTTTTAATTTTAAAACTTTTTTTTAATTTTTGAATTTTTTCTACTTGTAAATAATGAGCATATTTAATTTTTTTAAATTCAAACTTTTATTTCAACTGCGTGCGGTTTTTAAAATACTTTATTAAATGATAAAATAATTGTAAATTACTTCATTAAAATTCCGCTCAAAAATATCTTTTAATATACTCAAACAAAAATTTTTTTGCTCGACGCAAATAGCCCTAGCTACACGCAAAATCGCTCTTGGACGACGTAAAATTCACATCGCCCAACGCTTTATTGTAAGGCCTGACCTAGTTTTATCAAAATATTAGGAAGTTCATGTTAGAACTCTATAAGTTTATTTGGCATATTGCAAGGTTAGAGTTATTTTGTTCTATCTCCATGTTTTTTCGAACCGAGAAAATCAAGTTCAAAGTTTTAATTGGACCTGCAGACCAAATAACATAAAAAAACTCAAACAAAACCAATTTGTATTAATTTCCTAAACAAGCTACCACAGTTTTAAAGAAATTGTATTAAAATATTTAAAGTGCAGGTGTCTGAATTACTACACCCTGATTTAGAGATAAAACAATGTAACACATACTTATTTTATAATATACAGCGTTATTTTGTTCTATCTCCATTTTCTATTAAAAAATATAATACAAACTTGTATTTTTTATATATATTGTGGCAAGATGATTGTATGTTTTGGCAATTAAAGTACTGTAAGGTACATATCTGTTTTATTAGAAAAAAAATCTTATTTTACATTAGTAAACAAATAATATAAACACACTATTTTGTCTAAAATTCAATTCAACAGAGAAGTAATATATTATCTAAAGTATCTACCGAGATCTTCACAACGAAATAGAACTTTAGTTATAAGTTCTAAAAGCATAACATCTAAAATACATTACACAATAAAAAGATATCTTAAAGAATAATTATTTAACCAGCACTTCTGGTTAGGCCATTAAAAATATAACATTTCAGTAAGAAACTCATTTAACAACATAATATATAAAACATTTACTTTTTTTTCAAACATATTTGCTTCCAACAAGGCTGCAAGCAACCACTAATTAGTGTTAGAAGTTACTGGAAGAGAAAAAATGAAGATTGGAGAGCAAGATAACGATTGACAGAAGACTTTAAAGATTGCAAATTATATAAATCAGGAAAGCAAGATGAAGGAAGTGAATTCCAAAGAACTGATGTTCGAGGAAAAAAACTAGAGGAATAAGAGTTTTTGAAGCACTTAAGAACAGTCACAGAAAAAGGATGAGACTTAATAGAATGACGAGTAACACAAGAATGAACTTTAGTAGATGGCACAAGAGACGTTAGCTCTTTAGAGCAGTGCCCATTATAGTATTTGTAGAAAAGAGAAAGAGAAGCAACATTATGACAGTGTGATAATGGTTGAAGGTTGGCTGCAAGAGCAGGTCCAAATATGTTTACAATGCCTTCTTGCACCTTGTCTAAAAGAGAAAGGGAATCATTAGAAGATCCACCCCAGACATAGCAACAGTATTCCGGATTTGGGATAAAGAATATAAACCGGTAGTATCATCAGTGAACAATCCCACCTTAGATGTGAGAATATCTAGAAGATCGTTAATGTAAATTAAAAAGAGTATAGGGCCAAGGATTGAACCTTGAGGAACCTCTAAGGTTACAGAATAAGAAGAAGAGTGATGTCCATCAAGGACAACTTTTATGCTACAATTGGAAAGGAAGGATTCAACAATCTTAAAGATGTTTCCAGATAAACCATAAGAAAAAAGCATTTGGAGAAAACCAGCATGCCAAACTTTATCAAAAGCTTTAGAAATGTCAAGAGCGATGACCTTAACCTCTCCACCTTTATCTAATGCACAATAAAACCTATCGGTCATTACTGCTAGCAAATCACTCGTAGAACGAGAAGATCGAAATCCATGTTGATGATGAGAAAGTAAGTTATTAGATTCAAGATAAAAGATTGTGTTTGTTAATTAAAGATTTAAAAACCTTGTCTATGATAGGAAGAAGACTAATGAGACGGTAGTTAGACAAATCAGATCGCTTTTCAGAATATTTAAAAATAGGGATAACAGGTGCTGCTTTCCAGCAGGCTGGAAAACAAGACTCTAATAAGCACTTGTTAAATAGTTTTGAAAGGATAGGCGACAGCTACGGAAAACACTTCTGCAAGACTATAACAGGTATGTTGTCCGGGCCAAAAGCTGTTAAAGAGTCTAAGCAGGAAATCACTTTAGATACAGAAGCTGGGGTGATATGAATGTCAAGCAATGGATCAACCTGTTTGACTGCAATATCAGATAGAACACAACTAGTGGAATCAAGAGATAATATTGATGAAAAGTTCTTAGCAAATAATTCAGCTTTGTCTTTAGGTGAGGTGACAAAGTCTGAACCATACAAAAGAGGTGGAATTACAGACTTACCCTTGTTATTGATACTATTAAAGATTCTCCAGAAGTCACGAGAGCCTGAAATCAAATTAGTCTCACAAAGAGCAAGTAGGTCTGGTGGCTCAACAGAAGAAAACTTACTTCGAAGACCATGAATATTAGGCTCAACAGAAGAAAACTTACTTCAAAGACCATGAATATTAGTGAATGATAGGTTTAGCGAACTTGGTGATGACAGTGGTTTTTTGTGTTTTATAGTTCTTGTTACTTTATTCATTTTTAAATTTGTTAAAGAACTTGACTCAAAAACATAGATAGTACTATGTACACTGTTTAATAGCCCATGCACACCAAAAGTACAAACAGGGACACCATCCATGTGCAACATGGCACTGTTAATACTTTGATATTTTTCAGCTGTTGATGGAATCAGTTTCTCTGAGAACTACCACAGAGTTTGGGAAACCTGACTACCAGCTGGCCTCAGAACCATAAAACTGAGTTTTAGAGCTGTACCGTCATTAGGTGGTAATAGAATGAGTTGCCTAGTCATAAAAACAAAGAGACACAAGCAAAACCCATGCATCAAGTCAAGAAGATCCTGCATTCAACATGCTAAACTGGAAACCATGTATTAAAAATACATCTGCGCCAGCCTAATAGACAAAGAAGAGGTGTGAGGCTGGTCAACAGATAAAATCTGTTTACCCCTTAAGTCTTTGCCTAGGAGGCCTTCCACAAAGCAGCAGTCGTATGCATTTAACATCTGTCCAAAATGAGTATTTTATTTTATTAAGACACCATCTCTAGCCTTTACTCAACCAAGAGCCCCAAGGCTTTTGTGTCAGAATTGGGATCTCCTAGCCTTTGCCTAAAAAGGCGTATCCTACATGGTTGCAGGACATAAAGCAGATTGTACTGGGTTACATGTTACCAGTAGCAGGATAACCTGACCTGACTGGGTTACATGTTACCAGTAGCAGGATAACCTGACCTGACAATTCTCATCTGCAATTCCCACCTGACAATTCTCACCTGACCTGACAATTCTCACTTTGACATTATAATAAATTATTTTTAAATACTCTTATAAAATGCAATATTTACAGCAGGCATATACTTGAGCAAATTTTGAGGGACATTGGCTTTATCATTTGAAATTTGAACACCCTTATTCAAGGTAGAAAACATTAGTACCTTTACCATGACTAAGATCATAGATTGTTAACTATTGCTTTTGAAGAAACATTATAACACGATTTTCTGTAGTATACATGATCTGAATGCTAGATGCTTTATCTAGATATAGAGAACAAGTTTAAAATTAAAAAAGCCTGCAATAGCTAAAAAATGTTTGAAATTCAATTTCTTCATTAGGTAAACAGAAATTTTTTTTTTTTCAAGAGCAGGAATTGTTCTGATTAAATTAAGGGGACTAAATATTTCAACAGGAGCGAGTGCTCTATTAATTTGACTATGGATGTTATCAACCTCTTGTATACTAGAATTCCCAAGTCTTAAACTTTTGCTAAATTACTCTGATTTTGGGAAACATATCACAAACAAAAAAAAAAAGGTTTATTTTTCATAGCTGATATTTTGTATGTATTTAAATTTACAAGAATTTAACAATCTTTCTTTTTGGTTACAGATTTGCATGAAACATTTTCTCCCTTTCTATTTTTATACGACTCATCAAATTGTTTTAGCTGCGTTCTCACATTCTGTATCCATGTGAGCAATAACATGTTTTACCTTTTTAAATTTTGTTGTTGTCTTTCTGTCGTAAAAATATTGGCTAACATTTTGGCGTAAATAACATCTGATTGGATAAAATGGAGATAACACATTATAATTTTAATTTATAAATAGGAATAAGGAGAATTTATAAATAGGAACAGAATGCAATGTCAGGTATAGAAAGTTAATTTTTTTTTTTACTGATTTATTTGTAAAAAATAGGTATTTAATCCATAAAAAAAAAAAAAATTGATCGAACTCAATTTTTTTGATTTGTGGAGATAACAAAATAATTATAACCTCGCGATATATTGGCATTAACTTTTTTAATATAAGTTTTTTTTTTAACATTAATTTAAATTTTTGCTAACTTACTAAAGAATATATAAACTTTGGTGAAGATTATGCAATGGAATAAAGATTTATTATTTTGTCTTAGTTACTGTAATTTGTACCCCAATTAATTTTTATTTATTCATCACCAGTGAATAAATAATTCTGTTCATACTCTTATAATCATAAAGTTGATTTTTTAATTTTAAGTTTCATATAAGTTCAAAAGTTGTTGTTTTAGTTATACTTTTTTTTTATTATTATAGAAGCAGATAAAGTATACATATACAACATGTGATGATAAGGGTAATCATTGGAGAGTTCAAGTTCCATTAACTAATGATTGTTCACTAAAAACACCTTTGGCCCCTACCTTAGGGCTTCCGTGTGGTATTTATTATTATTAATATTTTTATGTGCGCATTTATTTATTGAGTTGTATTTATGTGTATGTATTTATAATTAAATGTATCATGTAATATAATTTGAAATTTAATAATAAAAATAGTTTATTTTAAAATTTTTTATTATTTTTCTGGACTTTTATTTATTTTTTATTACTTTTAGATTACTCATGTGCTCCTTACTTTTTATTATTTTTAGATTTCTCTTGTGCTCCCGGACAATATTTAGATATATTAATTCAAAAATGTTTAAATTGTCCAGAAGGATTATTCTCAGCTGGTGATACTAAAAGATATTCAACTTGGCCATCTCTTCCTGAAGGTTTTTCTACACGAGGTTCTGAAGGAGATGATCAGTCAACAGAAGCAGGAAATAAATGTGCTGAGTAAACATTTACAAATAATAACTATTATAACTAATATATTATATATAGGTGATAATATATTAACTATATATAACTAATATTACTAAGGTTTATTTTTAAACTAACTTTATACTTTATTTATATTTTATTTATATTTTTATATCTTATACCATTTGTCTGGATTGTCAAAGATTTTTGTGCTGTTATTTTTAGTTATAATTATGTGGTGTTTTTTTTTTTTTTAAGTGCTGTTTGGTCGGCAAGAGATGATTACTTGGAATCAAACGGATCATATTGTAAATCAATCCTCATTTATGAAGTCATTGTAAGTTGAATAATTTTTCGGATAAAAATAATCTACTGTATTTTACTATAGTAAAAATCATAAAAAAAAGCATGGTTAATCTATTTCAAATATATGCCAAAATAAAATCACAACTCAAGATGTTAAATTAATTGAAACTATAACTGAAAAGCCTTTTAAGAAGAGTATTTTTTTAAGCTGTTTTGTTGAAAATATTTGAGAGAATATTGTTTTAACTTCTGATACTATAAATACAAAAATTATTATTTTAATTAAATAAAAATTAACAAAAAAAACCATCCTCATTACCAAGTTCTCTAAATCTATCATTCACTTATATTCATGGCTTTTGAAGTAACTTTTCTTCTGTTGAGTCTTTACTCTTGCAAAGTTTACCAGACCTGCTTGCTCTTTGTGAGATTAAATTAAGTTCAGCTCTCTCATTTTGTGATCTTAGTGTTGATGGTTATCTTCTTTTAATTCTATCACCTTTCTGTTTGTTCTCTATCACTCCTCTTTATCTCAAGAATGTACTCTTTTTGATGTTATTTCTTATCAAATTGATCAAGCCCTTTCTCTTTATCCTTCATCCAATATCGTTGTTTTTGGTGACTTTAATGCTCACCACACTCATTGGCTTGGTTCTAGTGTCATGGCTCTGTTTACTATAGTTACGTGCCATTTCACAGAAAAATTCAGTGTGATCAATACAAGTATCTTATGTTATTAAAATTTATAAAATTGAAAGAAATTGTCTAAGTGGAAACATCAAAACTTCATAACCTTCAAAGTGACATAAAAGAAACATCTGTTTTATAAATATGGTACATATGTAAGACTCACTGACACTAATGTTATGAGCTAATGTGACTATGTTATAACCACGTCAAAGTTGAGTAAAAATTTCTTGCTGTTTTTGTCAGTCAGTAAATTTTTCTTAAATATTTCCAGTAATTATTTCTTAAACATTTCCAGTTAGGAAACCCTATAAAAAAATGCTCCTGGAGATAATCTATCAATATATCTATAACCTGATCTACAAATTTCCTTAGAACAGTGCTTTAAATGTCCTTTGCTTTTCATATTTATAAAGTTGTTTTCCTGATTATCAATCCCATAATCACTTGTGGTATATAAAGTTGTTCTATTTTTAGAACAAAACAGTACACTATTATAAATGAACAAATTGTCAAAAACAATAAATGGGCAATAATACTTTTTACTGTTATTTGATATCATTTTTTCTGTAGTTTAACTTTTTTTTTTTATTTAACATAATAGCCAATGTGAGTTGTTGTCTTTTTGATTTTTTTTTTAATTAAATTTTTAGCTAGCAAAGCCTGGAAATATAACTTTTACAGTTAGATCTGGTGATGAATCTTCTTTTTTTCATGCATATGTAAGTGATTTTTTATTTAATTTTGTGGATTTTTAAAATTTATTTTACTTACCTAAACTAGTGTAAGTGATATTAGTATCACTCACACTAATATCTATATATTAGTCTTCTGAATTAGAAAAATAAAATCCAAGCTTTCCTAGGAGACGCATGCAGTTTTATGTCTTGTATGTTTACGCATGAGTATTTTATTTTAAACGACTTGGTCACTGTTGTTTGCAAGTTTTATTATATTAGGAGTTGTGGAAAAAACTAAGTTTCAAAACAAAGAAAGCAAAACTAAATATAAAAAAATTAAAATAAATTAATATAGAAAAAATTTCGAAAAATTAATAACTTAAATAATTTGTGTACTGTTTTTATTTTTTTATTGTTTTTATTATTTTCAGTAACAAAATTAGATAAGGCAAAGCGAAAATAAACTAAAAAAAAAACACTTAATTCACCGTTAAAAAGAATGATTTTCTATATTTTAATTTTTTTAAAAAAGAAAACAAAAATATAATTGCTATCTGTGTGTAAAATTATTATTAATAATTGTATTATTAATAATTGTTATGCAATCATTAATAATTATTAGTAATTGTTTACTCACGAATAACATAGCAGACCAAAAGGGAGGGGGCAGGTAGAAAAAGTTATTTTATTTCTCAAACATCAATGCTTCAGAAGTCTGCTTTTTCTTTTTCTTGCTCATACAACTTACAGCCAGTTAATTTACAATTTAATGATGTGTCAACCATTTTCTTGCTTTTTAATTTTCTTCTTTGCTTTCTAGTGAACTCTAGCTCAAATAATGGTTGCTTGAAGCCTTTTTAAAATTAAATTTGTAAAAAAAACAGAAAACATGTACCAAGCATCTTTTAAATAATATAAGCAAAATAATCTATTTATCTAGTTGTTAAAACATTAAATATTGCAAATTAGAATAAGAATCGAATTTAACACGTAATTATTACCCGATTAGTGTTTTTTTTTTAAATGTACAGTGTTAGCAGGTAATAGATACATGCTGTTTTAATCTTTTAAATATCACCAAATCTTCTCCACTGAAAAAAGTAGTTTGACTTTATCTTTATAATTAAGACAAATGATATTTTCACAACATCGACTTAGTAGCAAGACAAAAAAATGTCAACCTCAGAATGTGAATGTCAAAATGTCAACCTCAGAAACTCTGTCAACAGTCAGGCCTGCATTACTGAATGCTCACTCAATTTAGAGATATTAGGTGAATTATCTTTTAAAGTTTTCTTAACCTTTAATTTTGGTTTAGGTAAAAGATTCAGTATGTGCCACTAGTTACCAATATATGAGTGACCAAGACAAGTATATTTCACTTTCAAGAGATTGGGAAACGTACAGTGTATGTATATATTTGTATATATATTTTTTTGTATAATATAACTTATGTTATAAGTATTTTTAATATTGTTAAAAATAATAAAAAAACAATGTATTCAAAGTGTGAATTAACTTAAATTTACCAGAGTGTAAAATTTTTTGGCAGAAAAAACAAAAATAGCAAAGTTCGCTAGGATTCTCATGGCTAACATGTTTTAAGTATTATTTGTATAAAACAGATGTTAATCCAATTTGTATTACAAATACAGTATAAAAATACTCATTTATATATGCCATAATTTAAAAAAATAGAAATTAGGTAAATCAAAGTGCATTACTATTTTAATAAGAACATGATGAAACTTTATTTAATAAAAACATTTACTCCACAATATAAAAATTACCAATCATAATAATATTCTAATTATATACTTCAAAAGATCGTTTCAAAATGGTTTTTGCCAATTTGCGATTCATTAGGTCATTTAATTCATCCCTTGGTATTAATATGTCGTTGTATTAGTTTTTTTTATATTAGTTTAGAAAACTTTTTTTTTATATAATTTTAGTCAATTTAATTTTTTTAGTGTAAGTTTGTATAATTCAGATGCAAAGTATTCTTAGTTATGTCATCACCAAATCTTTCAAATCTATGTTTCTCCAATATTTATGGTAAATTTTTCTCCTTAAAATCATACCTCTATTGAAATTAACTTGACTTACTCGCACTCTGTGAAAATAATTCAAATTTGACTTTTCTAACTTCATATCTTTATGATAATGGATATTCCTCTTTTTATTCCTATTCTTTCTATTCTATATCTATTCTATCTATTTCTATTTTTTGAGAAGTCATTGAAATGCATTCCTGAATTGTGTAATGCATTCTTTCTCATGAAATCAGTAAAATGCATTTCTGATTTCTATTCTCTAAATATGCAAATACTGTTTTTTGTCACTTTCATGCTCATCATATTGATTGGGTAGGTCATCATATTGATTAGGTGTACCAGTAACCTTGGTGAGTAAATAATTTTTTTCTCGACTTATCTTATGCTAGAACTTACAAGTTATAATTAATAAATGTAAGATGTAATTTAAAACATGAAAGTTGTAAGTAAAAAATCCTAAGATGTAATAAATGTAAGATGTAATTTAAAACATGAAAGTTGTAAATAAGAAATCCTAAGATGTAATAAATGTAAGATGTAATTTAAAACATGAAAGTTGTAAGTAAGAAATCCTAAGATTTAATAAATGTAAGATGTAATTTAAAACATGAAAGTTGTAAGTAAGAAATCCTAAAATGTAGTTGAGAACATAATAGTTGTGATTAAGAAAAGTTTATAATATAGATTCTCAGAACAAAGTTCTTGGTTCTTATTTTGTTGGCTTAATTTAACTTGTAAGCTAAGGTTAAATCCTTATTTGACCAAGATGGCCATATTGGCTGGTTTTCAATAAATAATAGTACTACAAATGAAAAAGGTCATGAAAAAGGCATTTGCAGTTTTGGTGGTAAAAGGAAAAATCCAACTAGGTGTCAGTTAGAACTTTCTTTTTTTTTATTTGTTTGTGAAAATTTTAATTGAGAATTCAGAGGAATTAATAAATAAACACAAAAAAATTATTGACAAAGAAATATAATGATTTTAATTAAATTTAAACAATGTCATTAAAAATAATTTTTGATTTTTAATAACATTGTTTGTTCGTTCATTGTAGAGGGCTCCTTGTGCTTTTTTTTTAATGAGTTCTGCTTTTGATGTATTTGGCGATTGTTATTGTGCTGACACTAATAATAAATTGTCCTAATATTTTTATTTTGATGACCACCAATGTCAATTGACAGTCACTTTCAATCCATGTTAGCACTTCTTTCATGCCAACAAATTGGACAAGTTGGTTCTGGTTGTTCCTGAAGTGGATGTGAGCAAATTTGGTAAAATAAATGCTGACATGGATTTAGTTTAATAACAGACTTTCTGTTTATAGTGTATTGACAAGTAACACAACAATCTTTCAATTTCATTATTATTGGTGGTGCATACAAATACTTAATTTGATATTATTAACTTGATATTATTAAATTCATTTTCCAGAAGACTTTTTATAATGACTTATAAGCTTACACTGTTTGTTTGCAATTACAAATTATGTATTCTCAATTACATTTTACGATTTCTTAATTATATGTTATGTTTCCTTATTACATGTTACTTAATTATTACATGTTACTTAAGTGTTTCTTAATTACATCTCAATGTTCTCAATTACATCTTAAAAAGGTGTATGTATATCATATGTCATATTTTAATGTCATATATCAAAGCTATTGCCAAGTTTGTTTGTTAAGATTGCTTTGTATTGAGTTTCCTTGACTACTGTTGTCATATCTAGTCAAGATCTTAAATTAATGCCATTTCCCTTTTGGAAAAGGCCCATAAATCCATTGGAAAGAAAATTAGACTTGCTCTAGAAGCTAAACCAAACCTCTGCCTCATTGTTTCAAAATTATTACTGTTGAAGGTTGTGTCTTTTTTTCTAAAAATACTAGTATGCTGCTCAAACAAATATCTTTCATTCTTCTCAGCATAGTTTGTTTTGTCTGTATTACCATTTTGTCAAATCAAATCTTTTTATAAGCTATCTAAAATATTTTAAATACATTTTATAACAGTTAATTAATTGTTTTTTTTATTATTTACTGCTTACATCCTTAGCAATAGTAAAATTCACATGCACAAGTTGAAAAACTAAATTTTTTTAAAACTTAAAAGAACATGAGTTTTTTTTTTTATTTGTTTAAAAATATTGACAAGATTTTATAACCTTTTTTCAGACAAAAAGTAGAATTCATCAATTTATTGAAGAGTAAGATAGGGAATATAAAAAAACTGACAATTTCAGATCCATTGCAATAAAAAGTACATAATAAAAGAAAGTAATTTAAAATAAAATGTAAAATCGCTTTGTGAAAACACCTTTATCTAAGTCACTGAGATAAGCACCATACTCATTATAATATGAATATGTATCAATATTGAGGTCTTTTTAACCATTCTTAGATTAAAACAGTTATACTAAAGCTATTTTAATAGTGTCAGTTGAACTCAGTTCTAAAAGAATTAATTCAATTAAAAGATTAACTTTTTTACTTCTCTTTTGCATAAGTTGTCTTTAACAGGTCATAAAAGTATGACCAACATGAAGTTTACAATAGTTGAAATTATATTGTATAATGAGTTTTGAGCATTCAATTTTAGTTTTCCCAAGACTTATTAAACTAAAATAAAGTAAATAAAATCATGTGACACAACTTAATAATAGATTTGTACATGTTGAATGAAAAGTTACCAAGTTTTACCAATTTTTGTAATGTATTTAGCAGATATTTGTTAATTTGTGCACTATATAATGTGGTAGTATTATGTTACAACCAAAAATCCAGACAAACTTTGAAAATGAGTATCTCTTAACTGGAGTTATCAATTTTATAAATTTAAAAATCGTAGCAACCTTGTGTTTTACAAAATTATAAAATATTTATTTGTTTATCAGTCCATTTTGCCAAATACAATTAACTCTTATGTACGCACTCGTCAAAAGCCTATGTACCTATTCACCCCATGTCTATGTACATACTTGTCCCAAGCCTATGTACGTACTTACCCCAAGCCTTTTTATGTACTCGCTCCAGGTCTATGAAAGTACTTTTTCAAATAAATGTATATGAACTGTACAAACAGTTCTTCAAAAAAAATTTTAAACCAACTTGTCTCCAATTTTTCTTTCCTCTAAATAACAATTTTTTAAACAGTTAGAACAATGTAGAAAAGTTCAAGTCTTTATTAAATTTTAGCATACATATATAGATCTGTCTACACAGTTATTATTACCTGGTTACATAAATTGAATAGAATTGTGGACAGGTATTTAAGATTTAGCAGATTTTTTTTTAATTCTTTAAATCACAGTCAGATTTATCAACAGCTTTATCAACATTTGTTAGAACCATTTTTCTACTCTTTTATCTTTTGGGTTTTAGAACCTTATAATATTTTTCATAAATTAGAAATTTTTCCGATGCTGCAGAGAAACCAAGCACACTGATCATATGCTTATTCTGAAATATTATAAATAATCTAATATTCTTTAGTGATGAATACTCACATAATAAACAGCTTCTTTGTTTTCTTAACAACAATTTCATCACTTTTTTAAATCATATTATTATAAATATCTCTTAATACCTATGAGAAACTTGTCCATTTATAGTATATTATTACTTGTCTTCTGAAGCTAAGGTACAACCAGTATTACTTTTTAGTAGTTTCAGACTTTTAGGTTTAGACAATGAAACAACCATGGATAGTTTTTATTATTTATTTTTAGGTTTAGACAATCAAATAACCATGGATAGTTTTTATTATATAGTTTTTAAGCAAAAAGGTTTATTTTAAAACAAGTAAGAAGCAAAAGCATTTATCCTCTCTCAATCTGGTAAACAACCATGGATAGTTTTTATTATATTGTTTTAGGTTTAGACAATGAAACCATGGATAGTTTTTATTACATAGTTTTTAAGCAAAAAAGTTTATTTTAAAACAAGTAAGAAGCAAAAGCATTTATCCTCTCTCAATCTGGTAAACAACTCTCAATCTGGTAGACAATTTTTTGTCAACCACTTCAAAAATTTTCTCTGAGAATCTCTACCCTCTTTTTTCTGAATCTATAACCCCTGTTTTCTGTAATTATCTATTTCAGCTTTTTTCTAAGCTTCTATTTCATTTGTTACACAACAGACCTACAAGAATCGTTATTTTTTCTAAAGTTAAAATAAAAAAGTTTAATCCGAGGAACCAATGCCTTTAAAAAGTTCTTTAAAAAGTTTTTCGGAGCACCACTATAATGTAATATAAAAATCCCTATGTATAAGTAAACAACAAAATGATACATATAATTAATAATGATAAATATAATATAATTAAATAAATATTTCTTCAAAACAATATATCTTACAAACCATCAAATATATGTGAACTACTTAAAATCTTATAATTTAGTCAAGTATAAAAATGATGAGCTATCAAAGTAGTCTGTAAATTTACATAAGCAGGTGTTAAACATATCATCAAATGGAGTATTATTAACACATGCTAATCTTACAATCCATCCTTTTTGCCTAAACGTAAAATATTTTATTATGAAATTTAATTAAAAATTCTTGTTAAATAAAAAAAAGTTAAATGGTTTCCTCATGTAGACCCAAAAAAAGTTAAAAGTTAAATGTAGACCCAAAAAGAAATTTTTACTTTTGCATTTCAATGTCAGTCCAGTTCTCGTTTAATGTGAAAACTGATGTTAGATCATATTGTGAGGCAATATTTGTATTTTTATAATGGTTTTTATTTTTTTAAACAATATATATGAATGATATGTTACTTGAAGTTTTATAAAAAAGTCGTACTTTTTTCATTTAAATTATTTTCACACACACAGACATATACACGCACACACATATAAATATATATTGATACACACATATAAATGTATATTGATACACACATATAAATGTATATATATATATATATATATATATATATATATATATATATATATATATATATATATATATATATATATATATATATATATATTGTTAATAAATACATATTTATTAACGCAATAAAATATCTATTTTTTATTTTTTTTATGCACTTAGTTTTAAATTTTATTTACACTGCTTTTTCAGCTTAGATTGCAGAAAGGTTTAAACACAGTGTTTTTCACGGCTGCAAATTATGGAAGTATGTACACAGAAGACTCAACTGGAGAACAGTATGAAACTGACACAGAAAAAACAGTCATGATAAAGGATATATTGGTGGCAGGTACATTTACTTGTTATTTACTATAATAGTCGATTATGTTTTTTAAATTATTCAATATTTGACCTATAAACTTTGATACTATAAATGATCCAGAAAATAAAATAACTGGTTAAAATTTATTTTAATCAGTTATTTCACTAAAAACAATAAGCATGGAAGCTTTTATGAAAATTATATATACTTGTGTATATATATATATATATATATATATATATATATATATATATATATATATATATATATATATATATATATATATATATATATATTTTTATGATTTAATTCAAAGGTTATATTCATAGAGCTTATGAATATAATCAAAGGTTATATTCATAGAGCTTACAGCATATGTAGCGAGGCATATCTTCAATAGGAGATTGATTTTTTAATTAATATATTTAGTGAAAATGGTTATAGCAAACGTCAGCTTCAAATCATTGCTAACCAGGTTAAAATAAAAAGTTAAAATCTACTAACATGAATGAAATAATGCAAACAAAATTCAAATACCAACAAATCCAAATGCACTTTCTACAATCTATTTACCTTGGATACCTTAGATTTACCTTGGAATTTAAGGACTCTACTAACATCAAAAACAAATTGAGGCTACCGGACAACAGTAAACCTGGAATTTATTTAATTGAATGTAATTGCTTTTAAAAAACACTGTAGAGAAGAAATTAATTGGGATAAAGTTAAAACACTTAAAGAAGAAGACAATAAATTTGATAGGAAAGTTTGTGAAGCATTAGAGATTCAAAAACATCAATGCTCTCCAATTTATGGTGGAATAAATTTAGATAGCGGACAATACGTTAAAACTAAATTTTGGACTCCATTTTATGCATTTTTGTGTCAAAGAAGCCGTTCTAACGCTGACATCAAAGTTTAATTTTTGTAATTTGTTATAATGGTCATAATTGTAATTTTTAATTACGATATTATAGCTGATGATGCTGGTAACTATAATCCGGCGAAAATTTCAAATAAATTAACAATAGTATTGAGAGAACTCGTATTAATTGATGTTTTTATATTTTTAACATATATATATATATATATATATATATATATATATATATATATATATATATATATATATATATATATATATATATATATATACATACACCTATAGTATCACTTACGGGGACAAATTTTACAAAACAACAAACACTTACGGGACATTATTATTATATTATCATTATCGGAGACATTATTGGAGACATTAGCATTATTGGGGACATTTTAGTGTACCCATTAATTTTTTGTCCCTGTAAGTGTCCCCATAAGCAACTTTTATAGAGAACGAAAGGTACATACATCAACTATCATATAGCCTGACTCTTGCGAGTCAGGCTATTTGATAGTCGGAGTGCTGCTATATCGACTGACGGTTTGGTTTGGGTCAGCATCAAGGTCAGGCCTAGGGTTAGGGTTATGGCAAGATATAAATATGGTTATATTACTGTAGTTAATCATTTTTGTAAATAGTTGAAAATAAAAATGAAATATAATATATAATGATTAAATAAAAATAACAAAAATAAGTATAAAAAACATTTTTATAATAAAAAAATAAATTTAAATATGTATAGATAAAAATTAAAAAATAACTATATTTATGATAAAAATAGTATTATATAATAGAGAAAAAAAAAGTACATAACGTGAACAAAAAAAACATGTCCCTGTAAACGCTGACTAGGAGTGTATATATATGTATGTATGTATGTATGTATGTATGTATGTATGTATGTATGTATGTATGTGTATATGTATATATATATATAAAACCCTCAGAATTAAGGTCGGCATTTGGCAATGCCGACTTAACTGCTGACCTGAACGTGTTTGCGGTCCTCAAAAAAAATTCAGTTTTTGCTGACCTCATTTCAATGTTTTATGGTATGACCTCTGTATTTGCCGACCTGGTGCCGACCTCTAAAAGATTGAGATCGGCAATAATTTGCTGACCTCAATTTTCCTAGTTCCAAGGGTTGTGTGTGTGTGTATATATATATATATATATATATATATATATATATATATATATATATATATATATATATATATATATATATATATATATATATATATATATATATACAACCCTCAGATTTAGGAAAAATGAGGTCGGCAAATTATTGCCGACCTCAATTTTTTTGAGGTCGGCATCAGGTCAGCAAAAATTATTTGATACAAAGGTCTGACCATAAAACATAGAAGCGAGGTCGGCAATTTTTTGCCAACCTTGAACACTTTCAGGTCTGCAATTTTTAGCTGACTTTCAGATCGACATTGCCGAATGCCGACCCTAATTCTGAGGGTTGTATATATAAATATAATATAATATATGTATTATACTATATTATACATTTAGTATTAAAATGAAAAAAATACGTTTTGTTGTTACTCAGAGTTACTTGCCTGGCAGCAATTATCACCCGGCTGATGATTACCGCTAGGCAAGAAATATTTTTTTAAATCAAGAAATTAAAAAACAGTTAAAAATATAAATTAAGCATTGCAATTGGATCTGATGTCAAAAAGTCAATCACTTGAAGTCTGCCTTTACCCAATGTTGAATTGACAAAGAAGGAATTTATTTCTATGTCGACTTTTCAATATAATTTCAGTTTTCTTATTTAAACTGTTGTCATTGTTTGAAATAATTTCATACTTTTCATTAAAACATAATTTGCATGATTTTGATGTCAGGTTAAACGCTTCACATCTTCTAATTATTTTCTAACTAACCACAGGTTTTTTCTTATTATCTTTTAAGTTCCAAACCTTCTTTGACAGCTCTGTATTGTTTTTATATTTGGGGATATTAAATAATTTCAAATGTTTGGCATATCTCAGTTTAAAAGGTGTTTCACTAATACCAATGCATGTTTTTTTTTTATTGAAGGGTTATCCGAAATGATGGCTGCTTGGTATACGATGTTGTTGGTCAAACATTTGTTGAGTAAAAGACAAATGTTTTCATTAAGGCAAAGTTGCAGTTATTTTTTCATTAAGGCAGTTATGTTTTCATTAAGGCAAAGTTGCAGTTATTTTTATTAGTGATTTTTGTTTAGGATGTGCTTGTTGTGTAAATTTATTACTTATTTAATAATTAATATTATAATGTAGTATAATATTAAATCACAATAATAATTCAAAGAAAATTCCAGTCTGTAAAGGTATTATCAGAATGTGAACTTCTTTTGCATATAGAACTTTAACATGTCTTAGAACCACATACAGTTTGGTTGATCATCTTTGACTGAAAGTTCTTTTACTTGTAAATATTTTAGGTGTTTTAATGGTATTGGACCTGAATACACTTTAATGTTATTATTTGGTTAAGTCAGACAAGCTCAGATGAACTCAAAGAACAGATCTTGGGTTTTTCGGAGAAAAGTAAATTTGTGACAGTTACCTTTTACTAGAGACACCCATTCTTTTGGTAAAAGTATTCTTTCAATCGCGTGTCTGGCAGGTATAAAGTTGATTCCAAACAAATAGTTAAAGGATGTTATGACTAAGTAAATAAAGTAACTATTGGCTTTATATTATCTTGTTTATTTTCAAAACTGTTATAAATAGCATTTTTTTTTTCAGATTAAGTTATTGCATTTTTTGCATATTTAACTCAGTAGACAAATATCGTTTATTTTCATTTTTGGTTTTGTTGAAATGATGTTTGCCTTAAAAAAAGATAATGTGAACATCAATTTGGTATACAATGTCTATAATTATCATGTTAGGAAGGTTCTGTGTTTGATGTGCTTGTTTCATTGAGAAATATGTTGTTGCAACTATTTAACAATACGCCCAGCCCTTTTTCACACCATATAATAAATAAAAAAGTATTTTTATAGGGTAATTCCATGTAAAATTGGGACAAAAAATTGAAATTTTTCAGTCACCCTCTCAGATTTCTTTCAAATTTGAACCAGTGGTACCTATCAATATAACAAAAAAAAATGTAAAGTTTGAGCTTCCAAATCCAAACCGTTCAAAAGTTATGACATTTTGAAATTCAGCCTAAAACGTCCTATTTTTTTCCACTTCCGCCATTATGAACTTTGTAGTAGTACTTTTAATTGAATAATTTAAGATCTAGTGGGAAAATGAGGCTGAAAATCAGTACCTGACCATTTTTGAGGGTGCTGAATTCAAAAATGTAGATAAAATAGTGAAATTTAAATTTTTTGATAGTTATTTTTTCATTTTAAAATGGCCAGACAAATTTTTTGTTTTGTAACCATGGGTTGCGCTTTCATTAATTCCCGAAGTTGCCCAAGTCTTATGGATTCGATTTTTTTTTCAAATGAAGTAGGTGATCCTAGGCTATCTTTATAAAAAAAATGGTTTTGGGTTCTTAAAGCATAGAAAAGATATTTCATTTTGAAATTTAGACAAAAAATTTCTTTATTTGGCATCTATTCTCTATTATAGATTTTATAGCGATACTTATTGTGTGAATAATTTAAGATCTAGTAGAGAAATATGACTGCAAATTGGTATCTGACCATTTTTAAAGGTGTTGAATACAAAGACGAAGAGAAATTAACCCAATTCCTAATATTTTAAAATAATATTTGAATTTTAAAATGGTATAATATTACCTAACCAAAAAACGGGGTAACATTTTCACAAATTGCCTGACTCTCATGGGTTCAATTGTGGTGTGTAAAAACAGTTTATTAAGGTTGATTTTGATATAGAAATAAAATTTTGTGAAGTGAATTATCATGAAAAATATAGTTTTGCAACACCTGCTGTGATGTGTAAATATAGTTTTGGGACGTCAGTTATGTGTCTAAATATAGTTTTAAAACAACAGTTAATAATAACAAATTTCAATAAAAAAAATTATTTTAATTTTAGATTAAATAATTATTAAATCTTGTTTGGTAATTCAGTTTCTTAGTCATGGCAAACAGTCAAAAGTGCTCTATTGGAATCAACCTAGAAAGTGAATGTCATCTTACAACATATAC